AAAAAATGGCTGTGGGGGTTTGGTTTCAGTAGATGCCTCGGCACACCTTATTGGTTAAAACTGTTCTTTGCAGTCCATTTAGTGTGGTGATTAAAACTCGGTTTACTTATAGCTTAGTCAACTCAATTTCAGCATCAGGGTCACAGTGGATCCAGAGCCTATCTCAGGGCTTGAGGTAGGAATACACCCTGGATGGGATGCCAGTCCATCACAGGGCACCATGCACACACACACACACCCACATGCACACACACATCCACACAAAGGTCGCAATTTATCTTGGTCAATCCGTCTACTGGCATGGGGAAAACCAATGAACCCTCAGGAAACTTACACAGACATAGGGAGACCATCTGAAAATCCACACAGACAGTAACCTGAGCTCTGGAACCCTGGAGCTGTGTGGCGGCAAAGCAGCCCACTGCACAACCGCCCCACCCTAGCTTATTTTAGTATTTACATTTTATTTTTATTGCTAGATACTTATCACTTTTTTTGGGTACTCCATAGACAATGAATAATTATAAGATGAAAATGGTGGCACATCTTCTCTCGATCAGAATGATGCTAACCAATTGTGGGTGTCTGAGAGCTCAAGGATAAGGAAGGGGACAGTTAGCATCTCCTCCAAGAGTGTTTAGCTTGGTATTGCATGACCAGAAGTCTTAGCCTTCACCACCCCAGTTGGCAGCTCATGTTAGATGGAGGAAAAGAAATGAGTAACAATTGGCAATGACAAAAAAAAAGCTCTACAGTTACAATGTCATAAACATATCTCATTAACATGTTATACTTTTTATCCATTTACACTTACATTTAGTTTAGTTCCTATTATTACTTATGTTATAATAGCTATAAACAGTCTTATCTCTTAGAATACTGAAAGTTACACCTTTACTTCTGACCGTTACAAAGCACTGACGCTAGAGACTCCTTCCATACATGTTAAATAAACATCTCATCACAGAAACCTTCTCCAAATCAAGATATACGCACATTTTTAATCTGTTAATGTGGCACACCCGCCGTACAAATCCCTGTCCAAGTTGTTACGTATTAGAACGAGCACATTAATATAAACCTGTGGTTTGCTCTGCAGCTGAAATTACTGTCTGAGCTACTGACAAAATTGAATGAACACCTTCTGACCAATCAGATTTGAGAATTGCTGTGGTATAATAGAATCTGAAGCTCAGCACAAAGTGAGTGTGCTGAATCCGAGTTCTACTAGATCATGCTGCGAAGTCCCTCACGGCTACTGATTCACCATAATGGCATTGTAGTCATGCAGAGAAAGAGATGGAGAGCGAGTGGGAGGGAGAGGGACATCAGCCAGGATCCGCTGGGAGCACTTGAGAAATGAGCAGGGAAGAGAAAGACTGAATGCACAAGAAGAGAGGTAAATTGAGGCTATTTGAGTAGAACCCATTCTGAATTCCCCAAATCCCTTATTCCAGTCACACCACACCAAGCATACCAACAAGTATTCATCAAGCTATCACCTCCCTTATCAGCTTGCTATGTGTGTTACAGAGTGAATATACACACAAAACACACACAAGCACACCTAGACAACGCTACCACTAACGCTTTCTCAAGCCTACAGCGCATCTTCCATTTCCTCTTTTCTTCCTCCATTTGCAGTGTGAATTTTGACAGACTCTACAATTTTCTGTCTTTCTGTGGTTATCAAAGTTAGATCTGTGATGTACAGCCCGGTTATGGGATATTTATAATTCTTTTTAAATGACATTACAGTTATGGTTATTATTTAGTTTGTAAGCTCAGTTGACTGGTGACTTGATGTCAATCAAACTAATGTGCTTCGTATTTAAGCAAGTTATACTGAATATCAGCATGGCTGTGATTCGGCTGAGTGCCGTAGCTAATCACAGTCATGCCGATATTCAGTATAACCGTATGACTGTGAGTGCAATATTGCTTTTATACAGCAGTTCTATGGGCAAGAAATTAAAATAGAGTAACTGACATTTCGGATACAATATAATCAAATGTTCTGATTATTTTTCCTCCGCTAGCGGAAATAGATCCCGAAGAAGCCACGCTCACTTTACAGCCCGTTGGCTAGCTCGATGGCTCGTCAAAAGTTATATTCAAGAGAAATGTATATCTTGATGTCTGCTGATGATGTCTTTAACATGTCTGTACTAACGGTTTCAAACTAGGAAGTGGAAGTTTGTGTGGCGAACACAGGCTAGTGGAGTGATATACACAGTGAAACGTCCCAGTGCACTTATACTAAATATAAGCACTCTTGGAACACCACTCTACAAATCAAATTAGTGGACCAGATTTTGAACAGCAGTTAATAATTAAACTGCAAAAAGATGCAGTTTATTCATTCTTTATCTTTGGTAAGTGCCTTATCCTAGTCAGGGTAGCGGTGGATCCAGAGCCTATCCAAGGAACACTTGGTGCGGAGCAGGAATACACCTGGAATGTGTAGCTAGTCCATTACAGGACACCATGCACACACACATCACTTCACACCTAGGGGCAATTTGGCATCACTGGTGGGAAGAAACTGGAGAGCCCGGATGAAACCCACACAGACACAGAGAGAACATGTGAGGAAGAGAAGATATTAATCTGAGTTGTGAGGCAGCAACGCTACCTGCTGCATCACTGTGCCATCCACATGCTGTTTGCTTGATCCGAAATGAATCCGAAATTCCGAAATGAGTTGTATGGGTGAAAAGATGAGGAAAATGTAATTCCAATAACTAAATATGATGCAACATCTTTGCATAATTGGGGTACATCATAAATTAGCTGCAAAAAGTTTGAGAACCCTGGCCGTAGTTTAATAGTATTTAATATTTGCAAACATTATAAAGTTCTGGCACTACAGATGTATTTGTCATGCCAATAAAATTGAGTTAAATTCAATTGAGAGAAAGTGGGTAGGGGTGTTTGGTGCTGTCTGTGTGTGTGTGTGTGTGTGTGTGTGTGTGTGTGTCTGTGCGTAAGCAGATAAAGGATAAAAGCAAAGTAGATGAGACAGCTAAGGAGGAGACAAGAGGGAGATTTGTCTTTCTGTTTCTCACAGCATTATCCACTCACCAAGGAGACAAAAAAGAAAAATAATTGTATGTGTGTGTGTGTGTATGCGTATGTGTGCTCAGAAAAAATCTTTAATTCAATCTATTTACAAGAAGCTTGCTTACAGTGTCACTCCCATGCTGCCCCTACATCACCCCCCCCCCCCCCCCCCCCCCCCCCCCCCCCCCCCCCCCCCCCCCCCCCCCCCCCCCCCCCCCCCCCCCCCCCCCCCCCCCCCCCCCAACCCCATACACACACACACACACACACATACACTAGTTCATTCCTGGAATTCCTTACATATACATTCTGGGCATAGCTGGACACCCACTCTGTCCTTCACTCCATCTGTCATTGGTTGCCTATTTGGATGGAAAAATGCCACAGACACTTAAGAGAGCCCTCTGTCTCTGTCCTCTCTATCACCGTCCTCTGTGCCACCAGGCACTCACTGAGGTCATTGTGCCCGCTCAATTCATAGCACACTTTTCTCCTGAGTACCTGCCTCGACTTAGACACCCCCCCCCCCCCCCCCCCCCCCCCCCCCCCCCCCCCCCCCCCCCCCCCCCCCCCCCCCCCCCCCCCCCCCCCCCCCCCCCGCCCCCCGCTAACCTGTCTCATCCCCATTAATGAAGAAAGAGGAGGAGAATAGGAGTAGTTCATTTCACTTATTTAAATGAGGGCAGGACCTCATTTAAAATGGTGCTGAGTCACAACTAATAAAATAAAAACATTAAGTGATGTATTTATAGTCATTAACAGTTCAGGCTCACAAGGCAGAACTCAGTGTGGCCAAAAATCCGCTGACTTTTACCGGAGCAGCTATTTTAATAACACAGCAAACAGACAAACAAACCCTGGCTACAAACTTGTTTTGATCCACTGTATATCCTGCTCCAAAAGCTTGGTGATGTCAACAGTGTTTTAAAATCTGTCTCTCAGTTTGACTACACAAAAACTGGAGCACAGCGTGCATACACTCAGAGGTGCAGATGTTCATCATGCTACAGGCAAAAGTGGCTCAACTCTGAATTTTTCACTTATATATGACACAAATCTGCCTCCAGCAAGACAACATGAGCAGCAAGAAGTACATCAGATCTGACATTTTAAATCCTAACTTGGGCTACTTTCATGTGTGGAACTGATATCTGATACACGTCTGATGGGGAGCAGTGCAACCTTCAGTGCAGACTGAAATTCATGTGACTTTTATATCAAACTTTCACTCAGGAGAGAATTAATCTTGGTTGTTCTTGGGTGTGAGATTTATATTCATTGACTGAAGTTATTAACAGAGATTGGGGAATAGCTAGCTATAACCTATGATGTCACTAGCTTAGCTACATTTTTAATAGCTGGCAGTAACTATTTTCAAAACAATGTAGCAATGTAGCCTGTTCAGGAACAAGCTACTTTTTTCCTGCCAAGTAGTGGTGTAGCATGACCAAATGCTACCCCACCCTTTCCCTTTTCATATAACCAGTTCAACATTGCATTTGAATCAAACAAAATACAATGCGTAATCTACTGTATCCATCAGGAACTGAGCTCAATATTTCTAATTAGTGAAGAATGTTAATTAGCACCTCAGTCTGCACAGACCTGTCTAGAGAATAACACGATTGTGCTACAGATACAGAGAATGTATTCTTCTAGTGATGACAACAAAACTATCAAACATTCATGGCCATGTTTATTAATGTTTATAAGCATGAAAATACACATTTGTTCATAACCTATGCAAATCTGAAATGAAATTCGGTTGACATCCAAAACTTAACCCCTACTTCAAGCTGTCGCGACAGAGCATCACCTATCCACATATCTTGATTCCGGCACAGGTTTTACGCCGGATACAACCCTCCCCATTTCTGGGCTTGGGACAGGCACTAAAAGTGCACTGACTCATGCGACCCTCCAGTGGCTGAAGTTAGTTCCCTGACTAGGGATCGAACCCAGACCACAGCAATCAGAGCACTGGATGCTAGCCACTAGTCCACCAGGGAACCCCGTTTCCATCCGATCTATAAGCACAAATCTAAGAACAAACATAATGGTGGGAAGCTGGTTAAGTTAAGAGGATGGTCCAGAGTGACAGCATTAGGTGTTGAATTAATGTGATTAAGCAGTGAATTATCAAAACCGTTAACTGTTTCGATGGAGCATGCCAGCTGACCAGTCAAGGTATTTAGCCTAATAGCTAGCATCAGCCAATATAACATAACAAGCAAAGATGACAAGCATTATTATCCATATTGAATATTATTTAAATATAATTGCCCAAACACAGCTATTTAATGCCCATTATCATCCACTAGCTAGATATTTCCAGAAACTAACTGAACCAAGAGTAGTGAAGTGAGCCATCTCTGTATCTATTGCTTTGAAAATAAATGTTGTGTACATTGCAGTTCAGCAATGTTAAGAGCTTATTACTAAGAGTGGTTAACAAATAGAAAAGCAATATCTATTTGTTATGCGACACCCCCCCCCCCCCCCCCCCCCCCCCCCCGTACAAAGTGTTTTAGCTGCACAATAAAGCAAAAGTGTTAAAGTTGCTTTTCCTCAGTTTCAAAAAGTAGCTTCAGTGTAGTTAGGTACACCTTTAGTTTGCAGTGTAGCTAGCTAGTAGACTGTAGCTTAGCTAGAGTAGTACATTATCACAATGGTAGTTTGGCTGTAGCTTAGTAATATATATATAAATCATGAGTAGCTTGTCATTTGCAAATTAGCTTCCCCAACACTCATCACTAACTTATATTAGAAACAAACTCATTTGAAATTTTCACACAGCTATTTGCAGGTTTAAAAACACACAATTTTCAGTGATTTAAAACATCTACATGTTGAATTTTAATAATATCCCTATATGTGTAGATGAGACCTTGGTCTGAAAGAAAAACTAAACAGCATGTTTAAATTTTGAAAATAATCATGTGAAATTAGCAACTGGTCATACTAGTTCTGTTTGTAATTCATGTGATTACATGGAATAGAGTTGTTAAATATGATAAAGTATCTGTTTTTTTTCCCAAATGTGTGATTGCTTTTGATGACAGTAACCTTGATTTTCACAGACGGACACAAAGATCTAAAATGATCTGTATCACTGGCAATTTGAGTTGTTAAACTGTTCTAAGTGAACAGATAGGCTGTCTTATTTAATGCTGCAATTTAATCAACTCTATTTTGTGGCTCAGCAACATTGACAGAAATGGCATAAAAGGCAACTAAAAGAAAACAAATTTACACTAATTCCTTGTCATAATTAATGGCAACTTTTAAAATCCTGTTACAGTTCCTTCTGTATTTTCTCTCTAAGTGGCACTATTCTAGCCATAACCAGAGCCACAGGTCCAAATACAAGGACAAATCAGCATAAAGAGTGTTAGTATGTTGCTGGGCCGCTACAAGCCACCAGAACAGCTTCAATCCACCTTGGCACAGATTCTACAAGTCTCTGGAACTCTACTGGAGAGTTGGTGTTTTGATTGATGGTTGTCGAGAGTGTTATCTAACACGTCCCTCCAAAATCTCACATAGGTGTTGTGATTTAATTAAGATCTGGTGACTGTGATGGCCATAGCATATCATTTACATCATTTTACATCCTCAGCAACCCATTTGGTGAGCCCTTGTGCCCTGTGAAGTCTTCTGGGGTATGTCGCTATGATATTTTTGCCCATTCTTCTTGGATCAAAATCTGTCAGACAGGAGTGTTGAACAGCCACAGACTCTCAGTTAGATTGAGATCTTGGCTTTGACTGGACCATTCTAACACATTTAGGTTTTTTTTTTTATTGAATCTCTCTAGTGTAGCTTTGGCAGTATGCATAGGGTAAATCTCCACCCTAGTCTCAAGTCTCTTGCAGAGTGGAACAGGTTCTACTCTAGGATTGCTCCACATTTAGTTTCATCCATCTTGCCCTCAAGCCTGATGAAAAGCATTCCCACTACACAATGCTACCACCACCATGCTTCACTGTAGGGATGGTGTTTTTAGGGTGATAAGGAGTATTGGTTTTCCACCAGAAGTAGGCCTAGAGTCCAGAGAACCCTTTTCCACAAGTTTGGCCTTCCATAAAGCCCTGGTTTGTGGAGTGTCTAGGCAATGGTTGTTCTGTGAAGAGCTTCTCCCATCTGAGCTGTGGATCTCTCCAGCTCCTTCAGAGTTACCCTTGACTCCTTGGTTGTGTCTAACTAATGACACCTGATCACTGACTTTTGGTAGACGGACTCTTCTAGGCAGACACTAGGCAGCTACATTGTTTTGAAATATTAACTAGACTGTTCCAGTAACATTTTGAACGTTTCTTATTTCACTAAACATTTAATAATAAACATGTCTGGATTCTATTATACCCATATCCTAGATCTTAAAGTAAAAAGAACCTGCATTGTTAAGTATTCAAGTGTTTAATACAGACTGTTGTATTAAACGAGGACATGAGTAGGACAGCTGATCCGAGCAGTTAACTTGCTAATGTGCTGAACCAAATGAAGGACAAATGTATCATTCCATCTAATCTAATATTTGGGCTACCAAGAAAGAGTAGAAGGGGTCAAATTTAAAGGGTAGAAAGAAAAGAAAGACAAGAGACCAAAGGCCATGCATCATAGTATTGTGTAGATAGAAGATGAAAGGAGAAAAACTCAGGAAAGTGATTACAGTATTCAGCAGCAGCTGATCTATGGCATGTAGAACCTGTCAGCTGCTCAGATGTTCTTCAGCACACTGTAGGCCAGAGACAGTGTGTGTATGTGTGTGAGTGTGTGTTGTTGTGATGAGGGCACACACCATCTGAGCCCATCTTGCTGCAGTAGATGTGCTTTTGCTCCGGGAAAAAAGTGTCACGACATCTAATAGCCGAGTTTGGGCTTCAGTGTGAGCTGGAGGGATCTAGAAGCAGTGACAGCAAGTAACAGGTTTTACCAAATGTGTGTGTGTGCGCGCACACGTAGCATAGGGGCAGGAGGGAGCAGTAGGATGTTCATCTCCGAGGCAGCTACGTGCCCGCACCTCAATCTGGAGAGAGAACATCTCTTGCTGTGAGCAATCTGTAGTCTTTCTCTCTCTCACTCTCTCTCACAAACACACACATACTTTATCTCTCGTTCACTCAAAAATGTACTTCCTCTATCTTTCACACACACTCACACACTTTTTCTCCCTCGGTGGTTTGTAAAACACAGCCCTCTGCTAGCCTCTTTTCCACTTCACAAATTTTCCCTGCATGAAGATTACTCACACTCATCTTTTTCCTTTTTTTGCTTTCTGCTCATCCCCTTTTATATTTGTACAGAACAGCTTCTGCTCTCATTTCAATCCCAATAAATCGCCTTCTCTCTTTTATTCCTTGCTCTATCAGTTTTCTCCATTCACTGTAAAGAACATCTTGTGTTCTTTCTTTCTCTTGTTATCTGCGAAGGTCCTCATTATGAGGATGGAAGGATGCTAAAAATGATGCAGGGAAATGGAAGACCATCGTCTTAATAGGCATTTTTCTATTTCATGTCCTGCAAATTGTTCATGAACTTCTAAAAAAAAAAAAAAAAAAGGGCCAATAGGAAATAT